TAACGTGCCCATACATATAACATGGCAAAAAAAGAGTAATGTCTGATGGGATTGTATGAAGTGTTCCCTCTAAGCTGAGTTAGTGTGAGTTAGTTCACAGTTTTTTAGCCTCCGGCTCACACATTTTTGTCTCAGCTCAGGAAGGATGGCTCCAGAGCAAACTGATCTATGCAGCAGCCAAATCGCTCGCTCGCAACTTGAATGCCAGTCGCTCAACAAAGTAGAATTTTTGCTCACAAGACTCCACAGCCTAGTGGGGGCATCGTAACGTATGGTTGCATCCAGATTCTTTTTGCATTAGTGACACGCTTGTGCATATCTGCGTGGGATGCAAGAGTAAACTAGGACCGATTTCCCACAGCCGTTGCTCTGCACTCACTCCTCTCTTTGCCCCGATGGTACGTGTGAATTTCCCACTCGAGGCCACGTGGCCAACTTTTTGACCCATGGCTTTGCCCGATTTTGCCCGCGGTTTCGTAATCCTCAAAAAACAGGATCACAAAACCGTGGGGGAAATCAGGTGACGCCGCGGGTCAAAATGCGGCCACAGGGCTTCGAGTGGGAAATTGACACGTACCATCGGGGCAAAGAGAGGAGTGAGTGCAGAGCAGCGGCTGCGGGAAATCGGTCTTGGTGTAACCTCTTCAAGATTGCCTCTCTTTTGGCAATATTTTAGCAACATTCACATGGTCCTTTGAGTAGAGGAGGGTGAAAGACAGGTAAGGATTTGAGGGTGTGGTAAACTGTCCCGTAGCATACTGATTTTTTTAAAAAAAAACATCTGTGAGGTTTCATAAGACACAAATTCCACTTCGGGGCGGAATCAGACAGTTTGGAATTCTGGCATTTGGGGAACAATTTGGTAGGGGAGAATTTTCGGAGCACCTCTGTTTCTCGAGGTCTGATCCTCTGCTCCTCCCCCTTCCCCCCCATTGCAGCTGGCCTTCTTTACCCTTACCCCCGAGACTGCTCTCAAGCGCTTCTGAATGGAGAGACGGCATCTGGCCTCTACACCATCTATGTGAACGGGGACCAGGCCCAGCCTCTGGAGGTGTACTGCGACATGGGTTCTGATGGAGGCGGATGGATTGTGAGTATGGACTGACAAAGGAAAGGGAAGCATCCCTATAGAGCATCAACAACAATGGAGGCAGACCAGGGTAGGGCCCACCACCTGGCAGTGGCTCAGCAGCACAGTGGTCCTTTAAAACGGAGTTTCTCGGGATTGAACCTGGGACCAGATGTTCTACCGCTGAGCTGTGGTGCCATCTCCACTGGCCAACGCTGCATGCCACAGGCCTGTGCTTCTGACACATTCTTAAGCAGGTGGAAGTCTGGATAAGAAGCTGCCCTGGGCCAGATGTGCCCTCCTCTGTTCTAATGCAACATTGTCTGTTTGGGGTACCAGGTCTTTTTAAGAAGGCAGGATGGAGAACTGGATTTCTACCAGAACTGGAGAACTTATGAAACTGGCTTTGGCGATCCCAAGAAGGAATTCTGGATAGGTAGGTGACCGCCAAGTATTTCTTTTCACACCACAAAGAAATGTCCACCTGGGGGCAAGCACCTGCTCTGATCCCTGCAGTGAGACAGCTTCTTCAGGGTGAAACCGATTCCAGGGCTCAGACCAAGAGCATCCCTAGAAAACTAGTTTGGGGGAGTTAAGAGGGTTGCAGAGACCATTATTAAGAGAGCAAGGATTGTGTTCTACCCATCCTTGATAGAATGGAGGTACTGGAGGGCCTCTTTCCTTCAACCCCCCCCCCCAAAAAAAACGTCCAGGTTGGTGATTCGTTCCCATGAAACTGCAAGGGATATTATCATTATGCATTCCCCCACCCCACCCCTCTGTAGCAAACAGTTATAACTTCATTGCAACAACAAAAATGGTATAAATCCATGCAGTTCAAGCCCAGCTGCTCTCCATCTGCTAATGCAATTCTTCCTCCACCCGAACTAGCGCCGTGAGAAGTGTGATCGTGCCAAATAGGGTTGGGAAGCACTGCATGTTCATTTTTTTATTCCACATAGGTCTGGACAAGCTTCACAAGATCACTTCCCAGGGCCAGTATGAGTTACGGGTGGATTTGCGTGACCACGAAGAGACTGCTTATGCCCTTTATGACAGGTTTAGCGTGGGAGATTCCAGGACGCGCTACCGGCTGAAAGTGGACGGATACAGCGGCACGGCAGGTACGTTTTCTGCCTACAAGGGGAAGGATCCACAGCTAATTCTCTCGTTGGGTTATTGAAAAGCCTGGTCATGAAGGGTGTTTGATAACAGCAATCTGCACTTACGTAGCACTTTTCCTGTGTTCACAGTCCTTGACGGCTGTTACCCCACAATGATTTTTGCTGTTTCCCTGTAAGGCTGGCCACTTTTGTGATTATACTCAGACAGAAGGTTGAGGCTGAAGAAACAAGGGCTTACCAAAGGGCACTTAGTGAGTCGGTGGCAGGAGCAAGAATTGGATCTGGGGCTACCTGACAATTCATATTCACCACAGTCAACCAGTCAACATTAAAAGTAACAGCAGTAGCATTCATCAGTGCTTACCGAGAGCACGCCTGGTACATTGCCTCAGTTATCCAATACAATGACCCAGCAGTGTTATCAGATAGGAGGCAAAGTCATGCCTTGATTGGCAGCTTAGTGTCTCAGCTATTAGAATGTGCCAGCTGTTCACATCATAGAATAACCCCCCCCCCCGATAATCTGCGTGTTTTGGACATTTAACACACATTGTGCCCAACTGAAGCCCTCAGCCTTGGTTGTTGGGAGGATAAAACAGAGGGTGGGAGAGACATGGAGGCTTCCCAGAGCTCCTTGGAAGGGAAGGTGGAATAGAGAGCTGTCCCTCTCTGCATTTTACGCTTCCAACAATCCTGGGCGGAAGATGAGGTTGCAAGAAAGCGACCGACTAAAAGTCATCCAAGGAGTTTTCCAGCTCAGTGGGGATTTGAATTTGGGTCTCCCTAGTCCAGTCCTCTGACCCCCACCTTGGTTTTCTATATATTCACGTCTGTGCCCCCCCCCCCAACGGCTGGCTTAGCACTTCCACAGCATGGCCTCAGCCCCTGATCATCTGTTGCCATCTAGGAACTGACGTGGCCGCCCGCCCAGTGACACTGGCGCAGTCCTTCTGGCAGGCCCTTTTGCGTCACGACGTTTCGGTATGCAGTTTCCATTTCAAATCCTCCCCCAGGCCACGGAGCAAAATGCCACTTTTTATGGCAGGCTTCTCCTGGAATGTAAACACACCTGCTGAGCAGAGCCATGTCTCATGGGAAGCTCTAACTACCTGTCACCAAGATGGTTTACAAGAGCGGAGCTCCATGGCCTGGGATGCCAAGAATGTGCTTGGCTGCCTCTGTTTGCACTGTTCCACAAAGCCTGGAAAATGTTGTCAGAGACTGAGTCTGCTTTGTCACAAAGGCAGCAGGTTAAATCTTGCAAGCGCTCTTTGATCCCCCCCCCCATCCCAGAATCTCTGCTGGGCGAATAACATAGGGTTTCAGGGCTATTTTTGGGCAGGAACGCACAGGAACAGAGTTCCGGCTAGCTCCTGAGTTGGCCACGCCCAGCAGGAACTCATTAGCATAATAGGCCACACCCAATAGCAGAAACTCATTAGGATTGGCTACATTAGGGGTGTGTGGCCTAACATGCAAAGGAGTTCCTGCTACAAAAAAAGCCCTGGGTTTTGACAACAATCAAGGTAAACAGAATAAGAAGGGAAAGGTGGGTGTGGCTGGATAACCACACTTCTGGTAACATGGGGGTGTGGCCTAATGTGCTAATGAGCTGTGCTGTCAGGGTGTGGCCTAATATGCTAATGAGTTTCTGCTGTTGGGTGTGGCCTATTATGCTAATGAGTTCCTGCTGGGCTTTTTCTACAAAAAGAACCCTGGTTGATTTTGCCCTAGAAATTTGGGAGAGCAGAGTTAGCCCATGCTCTGGCAAGATGCTCAGAATTCTTGGACTCGGTGTTCTTCAGAACATGGCATAGCCTGGCTAGGACTGTACCGTTTCAGAATATAGGCAGTAGATCCCACATTTGCTGGCCAATAACAGGGGGGGGGGAAGAAAAGTTGCACACAAAAGCCTAGCACTTTGAGGAGAAGGCAGTAGGGATGTGGCACAGTTCCACTTCCACAAGAATCTGAACCAGAACCATTTCTGAGTTGTGTGTACAACCTGCCACAGTTTGAGAAATAGTATGGTAGGGAGAGCTGGCACACCTTGGGACATCCCTTTTACATGCTGTGTGTTCCAGAGGTATCGAACTCATTTGTTACAAGGGCCAGATCTGACATAAAGGTCACTTTGTTGGGCTGGGCCATGTGTGTCATAAAATATAATTCCAGGTCCCAGAGATATAAACTGTATAAACTGGTATATCAGCTGGTAAGCTCCGAGTTGGTGTCTCCTCACCGCAAGGCCTCGTGGACTGGCAGGGGGTGCAGAGGAAAACCCACATGGGCACACTGGAGAGCCACTGGTGCAGCACTGGACAGATGCTCCTGTGCTGTTTGACTGCTGCAGATGAGGTTGTTCCACTGTGCTGAAGCCACTATTGGAATGGCTCCACTCACTCCCCCCGAGCAGTCTCCTGTTCCCTCCCTTGCAGTAGTTGCTTGTGGGCCGTATAAGAGACCTGGATGGGCCGGTTCCAGCTCCCAGGTCATATGTTTGACATCCCTACTGTATTCCTTGCATGTCCAGTGGCCTCCAGCACATTGTATCTTTGGTACATGGGAGGCCTTCAAGTACATGAGTTGAAGTCCAGAAGCATTTCATGGCTGAGCTAGTAGGCTTTACCTTGAATGCTCCAAGTTCTCCAGGACAGAATAGAATGGAGAGGATACTTCTGCTCATCAGGTTAGAGGACTAGGAGGAGGCTGAAGGAGGCTGAGTCATGCTAGACTTCTCTGTGCACATACAGAATGGATTGCAGAATCCATTCCAGATGTTGAAATCATCTCTGGAATTTTGGCACCAAAACTCTTTGGTAGCATAGCCAATCAAATTCTTTAATCCACTGAACGTTCTGAGCCATGCTAGAATTCTCCATGCACATACAGGGCCCATTGTAGAACCCATTCCAGATGTTGAAATCAACTCTGGAATTTTGGGACCAAAACTTTTTTGGTAGCATAACTAATCAGATTATTTCATCCACTGAAGGTTAAATTTGCTGTTGCAGGGGGTAGGCGGGGGTACAAGTGATCCTACATTCAATTCCCATAAAACCCTTGTGGGAAACAGGGGGCAGATCTCTAGAATATTCTGAGGTTAGACAAATCCACAAGCAATAAGTTTGTCACTACAATGGAAGAAGAAGAAGAAGAAGAAGAAGAAGAAGAAGAAGAAGAAGAAGAAGAAGAAGAAGAAGAAGAAGAAGAAGAAGAAGAAGAAGAAGAAGAAGAAGAAGAGATTGGATTTATACCCCGCCCTTCACTACCCAAAGGTATCTCAGAGCAGCTTACAAACTCCTTTCCCTTCACCTCACCACAACAGACACCCTGTGAGGTAGGTGGGGCTGAGAGAGCTCTTGACAGGAACTGCTCTTTTTCAAGAACAGCTCTTATCAGAACTACGGCTTGCCCAAGGTCATCCAGCCAGGTGCAAGTGGAGGAGTGGGGAATCAAACCCGGTTCTCCCAGATTAGAGTCTGCGCACTTAACCACCACACCAAACTGAACCTCCATGTTCAGAGGCAGTTTCTCTCTGAAAATTAATTGCTGGAAAGCAAACCAAGAGAGAAAACTATTGCCTTCAAGCATTGGTCTTGGGCTGTTCAGAAGAATTTGGCTTGTCTCTGTTGCAAGCAGGTTGCTAGACTGATTTGATTTAATTTAACTGGATAGGATTTTGGTCTAATCTGTCAATGTCCTTCTTACGATGTTCTGAGAAAGATAGGCTATAAGAATTTCCCTAAGCAGAGAGTATTCAACTATTTATGGATTGTTTACTTGCTTACTTAGAGCACTTATGTCCCATATTTCAACACAAAGCCCTCAAAGATACTTACAAGACAAATGTGTGCATGCATGTTTATCTAGTTCTCAACCTGGCCTCAGACTGCACAATGGGGCCAGAATAACAGAAGGGGGGGGGGGTCCTAAAAATCTTTGGAAACCCTCAGGTTTGCAGAAAAATTCAAAAACAAAAACAAACAAACAAAAGGTTTACACACACAAAAAATACCCCACAACCCAAGCCAGAGAAAAGACGCCTGCCCAAGCAGGGGCATCAGAAATCGAACAAAAAAATGAGTAACAAGATAGTGTGAGATCTCAGTGGCAATGTTTACCACTCCAAGCACAGATCCCCAATCAGCTGGTTGGAGGTGGCTGTGGAATGGAGACATGGAGCATCCAATCCAGCACACTTCCTGCTCCAAGCCCAGCCTCCCCCCCCTTCATGCAGCCAATCACATCTCTGGCTGTGAGGTGAGCAAGTTTTGGAGCAGAGTGCACAGATTTCCCCTACAAGCTTCCAGCCACCAGCCACCACTGACCAGGTGATGAGGGAGATTGTACTTGGTGCTGAAAGCACGTCCAACCCACACTCAGCTGCAAACCCACCCACTGCCTCCTAGCTGGCAGGAACCATGGGGACTAGCAGGGGAGGAAGGAGGTGGGTTGGTGAGACAGTTGGGGTGGCAACAACAGGAGGAGAGACGATAAGGTGGTGGAGACAGGGTGGGGACAAAGGAAGATGAGGCAGCAGCAAGGCAAAGAATAGGACAGAAGGTGGGAACCAGTGAGGAGATGAGATTACCTTCCCCAATGAGTTTCTTGCAGGGCCTCTGCTTGTTTAAAGTAAAATCTATACAAGTGCAGAAAATTAAGCTACAACAGATTAAAGGTAAAGGTAAAGGTTTCTCTGAAAGCTAGTCAAATTGGACTCTAGAGGGTGGTGCTCATCTCCGTTTCCAAGCCGAAGAGCTAATGCTGTCTGAAGACATTTCTGTGGTCATGTGGCCGGCATGATGAAATGCCGATGTGCACAGAACGCTGTTACCTTCCCACCGAAGTGGTACCTATTTATCTACTTGCAATTTTTTGCTTTTGAACGGCTAGGTTGGCAGAAGCTGTGGCCAGAGACATGAACTCACTCCATCACATGGCACTCGGGTCTCAAACTGCCAAACTACAGACCTTCCGGTCTGCAGCTCAGCATCTTAACGTCAAAGCATAATGAACAGCATGCAAGGCAGAGCAAAATTATGCAATGATGGAGAAATGGAACCAGGAAAATCCTCTGACCTTCAAACGCATGCCTTGTGACTTTTTGTGACTACTAGATATCAGTGTTCCTGCTGTCCTTCTACTGGCAGGACTTCATTTACCTGAAACTGAATCTGTGTCTCCCCCCACCCCCAACCTCCACAGGTGATTCCATGACCTACCACAGTGGACGGGCCTTTTCCACCTTTGATAAAGACAATGACTCAGCCATCACTAACTGCGCTTTGTCATACAAAGGCGCCTTCTGGTACAAGAACTGCCACCGAGTCAACCTGATGGGCAGATACGGGGACAACAGCCACAGCCAGGTGAGTGTGTCAACTCAAGGCTCTTCTGAGTACACTGAGACATTTGGAAAAATGGAGTAAACCAGGGGGCTGACTAGCTTTTCAGGAGGCTGGTCTAGTCACCACCCACCCTGTTGGCAGAGAAGCTTCTCTGGAAATCACCAGAGACGTGAACTGCTCAAACCCCCAGAGAGATTCTTAGGGATAGGCCCAAGTGGTTCTGTTCTCAAATGCAATTTTCAAACTATGCTTGTCCTGCTTTTTAAACGTATGTTTCAGCCTTTCCGAATATCAGTGTCGTCTTGTAATCATATGTGACAATAAATTGATGTACAATTTGGGTTATCCCTACCCTGGCTAGGAGCACCTATCACTGCCAAAAGAGAGTGTTGCTGAGAATAACTTGACCAGGAGTCTGACAACTTGAAATCTTTACATGTCATTCCCACTGGTATTTGTGAAGATGCCAAACCTTCTAATTCCAACCCCTACTTCTTTTACCCACTGCTTTGCCAATCCTTTGGTAGTGGTGAGCAGCCATTGGGCCAGCCAGCAGGAAAGATCATTGTCCCTCCTCCTCTTCCTCCTCGTTTCTGACCCAGTGCCCTGCCTCTTTTACCATCGACTGGGGCGCCTTGTGCATACTGGGAAGCAGAGTTCCCAGGACATTTTTTTCCCAAAAAATATTTATTTATTTAAATTTTCTTGTACATTACATCTTGCATTCATGATATTATAAACAGTTCCAGTTGTCAGAGTCATTTAGTTCATACATACATGGTATTTTAAACCATTTCAGTTATTAAATTCATTTAGTTCATATATTATTTTCTTTTATCCACTTATAAAACATTTTCCATCTACTATGGAATACCTCCATATCTTTGTTCTCTAGGATTGTTGTCAATTTGTCTATTTCTACTACCTCTTGAACTTTATTAATCAGTTCATTACATGATGGTATCCTTTCAAGTTTCCAATTTTTGGCAAATATGATACGAGCTGCCGTGATGATAAATCCCATAGCATATTTTTGTTCGTTTTTTAACTTATCTGGAAATATATTTAGCAAAAACATTTCTGGTCTAAAAGGCAGTTCTACTTCGTACATATCTGTTAGTATCTTATGTACCTTCTGCCAGAATCGCTGGGTTTTTAGGCATCTCCACCACATGTGGTAGAAAGTGCCTACGTTGTTTTTACACTTCCAGCAATTTTTAGATACATTTGGGTAACACTTGGCTATTTTATCCGGGGACCAATGCCACCGGTGATACATTTTGAATATGTTTTCTTTATATGGAGTTGCGCGTAACTGTTTTGCAGCAATCCAAATCTTAGACCAGTTTTGAAGCAATCCAAATCTTAGACCTATGTCTTGCATCCAAGCAATCATTGTGCATTTAACCTCTTCATCTAATTCGTAGTTTATTAGGAAGAGATTATACAGTTTTTGAATTAATTTGTCATTTGTCGACAGCCACAACTTGTCCAGCTCGTTTTTTTCACCGTATATTCCTTTCTTTTGGTCTTTCTCGAAAGATGATCTCAGTTGCATATTTTCCCACCATGATAACTTTATGCCTTGCTTCTCAAGAGCCTCTGCTGTTTTTAATTTACCTTTTTCATCTAGTAAGGTTTCATAAGTTAGGAGCTCAGTGTTTTTCGTTAAGGGGGGTTTTATAAAGGCTTCTAGGGGGGAAAGCCATCTGGGGATTTTAAGATAGTATTTATTTTTATACTCTTGCCAGATTTTGTTCAGTGCCCCTCTAACAGTATGCTGATTGAATTTCTTGTGTATTTTATCCTTATCATAGCCTATATACGCATGCCACCCCATATCCAAATCAAAACCTTCTAATAGCAGTAGTCTCTTGTTTTCTAAGGTTATCCATTCCTTTATCCAAGACATTGCCGCCGCGGAGTAATAGAGCTTCCAATTGGGGAGTTTCACACCCCCTTGTTCTTTTCGGTCTTGTAAAACCTTCCACTTAATCCGTGGGTTCTTATTTGCCCAAATAAATTTTCTACATATTTTGTCCATTTCATTAAATATCTTCCTATTTCTCAAAATTGGAATATTTTGTGCCAAAAACAAAAATCTCAGAAGTATATTCATTTGTAATACTGATATTCTCCCCATAAAAGATATCTGTAAATTTCCCCATTTTATTAGATCTTTTGTTATATCCGCTAGTAACTTAGCATAGTTATCTTCAAGTAGTGTGTTATTTCTTTTGGATATGATTATCCCTAAGTATTTAATTTTAGTGACAACTTTCATTTGCGTTATTTTTTCTATCTGTTGAACTTGGTGTTTTATGCAATTTTTAACTAGCATATTTGTCTTGTTGTAGTTTATTTTCAGTCCCGCCACTTCTCCGTATTTCTCTATTTCTTCCATCAACACCGGCGTGGAAACTCCGGGATCTTCCACCACAAAAACTAAATCATCTGCAAAGGCCTGCAGTTTATATGTTTCATTTTGTATCTTCAATCCTTTTATTCTGTTATTATCTCTTACCAGATCCGTCAAAGTTTCTAACGTGAAAATAAATAGTAACGGTGACAATGGACACCCTTGTCTTGTGCCCTTTTGTATTGGGATATATTATGTTGTGTCTCCGTTTACTATCACTTTAGCAGATTGTTCGGAGTAAATCGCTCTTATCATCGTGTAAAAGTTTTCTCCACATTCCCACTTAGCTAGTTTTTGTAGCATAAAGTCCCAAGTAACTCTATCAAAAACATTTTCGGCATCCAAGAAAATTAAAGCTAACTGGTCACTTGGGTGGAGTTCATAATATTCCAATACATTCATGATTGTTCTTAAGTTATTTTTCATTTGTCTGTTAGGCAAGAATCCTTGCTGATCTCTATGTACTGTTTCAACTAGAACCTTTTTTAATCTTGTGGCTATTATGGTTGCATATATCTTATAATCCACATTGAGTAGGGATATAGGCCGATAATTCTTAACTTCTTTTGCATCCACGTTTGCTTTGTGAATTAGAGTAATCAGGGCTTCGTTCCATGATTTGGGCATACTTCCTCCTGCCAGAATAGTTCTTTAAATGTAATTGATATTTGTTCTTCAAATTTCTGGTAGATTTCAATCGGGATGTTATCTGGACCTGGGGTCTTATTCTTTTTTTGTTTCCGAATAGCTTCTGATATTTCGGTAGATGTTATTGTGCCGTTTAATATTTCTTTCTGGTTTATATCAAATTTCTTGTTATTCCGTCTCTCTAAATACTCTTTTATTTTGGGGGGATTTAGACGCTCTTGTTGGTATAATTTCCCGTAGAAATTATCAATTATCTTTTTAAAAGCAGCAGTAGTATTTTTTTCTATTTGTTTCTCATCTCTAAGCACCGTTATGATTTTCTTTGCTTTTTCCTTCCTTATCCTATAAGCTAACCATCTAGTCGGTTTATTCGCGTTCTCAAATAAATATTGCTTTGTATATTCCAATTTTCTAGCTACTTCTTGCGTTAGCATAAGGTTTAATCGGTGCTGAAGAAGCTTAAGTTTCACTTTAGTTGGGTCTTCATTTTTCCCCTTTTTCAATCTGTCTTCTTCATATTTTATTTGCGTTGTTAAGGTGCTGTATTCCTTCTTACTGTGACTGGCAGCATAAGATGCTTTGGAATTAAATGTAATATGAACCAAACGGCTTATTGAGGATTTTTAAAGAGATTTAAAAGAAAACTCACAGAGGAGAGTGTGGGAACCAGCCACCCCCACCCTATAGCTATCTTGCATTGCACAGCTATTGTTCCCTCCAACGGGAGGGGGGCAGGAGAGCCCTTATAAATTTTTTGGCTTGATGGGGGGGGATTGGCAGAAGAAAAGATTTAGAAAATTGTGAGCCACCAATTTAGAAGGGGGTGCAACGGGCAAATGTATAATCGATAAGACTATTGGAGATGTGTAAAGGGAAGATCACCCCCCCCCCATGGTTAATAGAGATCATGTCTAAAGGAACTGGGATAATGGAGATGTGTAAAGTGAATATCCCCCCCCCCCATGGTTAATAGAGATCATGTCTAAAGGAACTGGGAAGCAATGACCCTGAAGGGACAGTAAACAATAGCAGAAATCTAGGCATGAAGCCAATAAGAATTTTGGCAGGCAAGAGACAGTGATAATCTTAAACAAGTCAAAACAAAGAGACTACTGTTCTGGGAAAAAAGCCAAACTTGAGGCAAAGCTAAATAAGAGCCTAAAAAGGCTGAGACAGACTGCGAATTTGTATTAAGCTCAGAGGAAGTGGCAAAAATGTCTCAAATTAAACCAATGCAGACCAAAATACAATCATCACCAGGAACTAATGTTACAGTGGGGAAGCTAACAGGAACTGCCTCCAAAGAAATGCAAAATATGATTTCTGATGCTGTGAATCCGCTGAAAGGGCAAATGGATCAGTTACTCCAACAGATGAAACAATTAACGGAGCAGTTTGCAAATAGTACACAGGTTATGCAAAAGCAAATAGCTGAAAATACAGCAGAGATTGGAGAACTGAAAAAAGCAAAAGAGAAGACAGAGGAGAAGACCAGTGAAATAGAAGA